CCGGGGTGAAGTGGTGTGTTCGGAGTCGTTGCTACGTCCGAGGACATGTAGATTATGTATGCGTAAAAAATACAGGGATCGGGTCGGTTAGAAGGATGCCTCCGCGGAAAGAATGCAGCGCACCCCCGGTTTCCGAGTACCGAAACCTGCACGGGCGCATCGCCGATAACCGAGCTGGAGCGACATTTCGACGCTTTGCATTCATCTCCTAACAATACTAAAAAAAAAACCCAACCGTATTTTGTGCATTGTAAATGTTTTCCATCCAGCGTTATGTCGTGGGCACATAACTTTCTTCTCTTTTAAAATTACAGTGTTATGTTCAGCTTACTGTTCAGAAACTTAAGTGATTCAAAAATTCTCATATAGCTGAGATATTCATGTATATTTGTAAATGGAAACTGCCCTGATAGCGTTAAGTACCAGGTGGCTTGTTGCTCCTGATAACTGAGAGTCATTTCTCTGTTTACAGAAAAATACTATTTCAGCTTATACGATCAAACAATCTAATAAAGCGACATCGTCTCTAGTTCTTGTTTAAGGAGGCAGTAAAAAATTTATTACATTTGAATTATCTGTTTTATATGAAGATGATTGTTAATTTGCCTATTATTTCTTACAGCTTTCAACTAAACAGCTTTTACCACCTCAGCTATCATAATGTAATAGACTACAAATATCTATGATGTTAGATTTTGTTTTTTCTTTCTTTGGGACAAGTTTTTGGTTTTCCTTTCTGTGTACGATGAGATGAAACCTCTTGAACGGTAAAGTTCAAATCAGTAAAGGGTTGATAGAATAAAGGCTCTTCATGGAACTTGTCAAAACAGAGTATTTGTAATAACAGCGGTTTTTAGTACGACAGGAAAATACTGAAATGTTTGAAAGCTGAGATTTTCCACAGAGCCGGATTCATCTCCCTTAAGTTTTAGTGGAATTCAGCTTCCAAAACCAGAGAAGCAAATAAGAATTGAGTAGATCGGGGAGACATAGCACATACTACAGTGAATTAATTTTATGCCTTCCAGCGTATCTTCCTCTTACCAAGGGATATTTAACTGTTCACATACATGTTTTCCAATTTAAGACAGGTCCCACAGGTACCTGCGTTAAAAAACACCCCAACACAACCCCAGTTTACTCCGAAACCAGCACCGCCAGTGGAAGATGGGGGTAGAGACAATATACGGTGTGGTAAGCCTGGTCATTTTAACAGCCTGTCGTTGCTTTTCTCCCCAGCGATGTACAGCGGCATATGCATCTGCGTGTTCCTTGCTGTGCTCTCAGCCAGCTCTTTCGGGCAGCAAACCGTGGGCTCGCGCAATGGGAATCCGCTGGCTGCTGAGCTCGAGCGGAGCCTGACAGAAAACCACCGGCACGTCCGCGCCCCCTCGTCGGCCGGCCCGCTGAAATCGGTGCCGCGGCTGGATGGAAACATTGACCAAAGGGCTAACCTCGGCGCCTTGTTGGCCAAGTATCTCCAGCAAGCCAGAAAAGGTACTGGTTATAGCCTACTTCCTGCGCTCCTCCTGCATCAGTGAGTGGGATTTCCCACTGGGAGTCCTAGATTGAACAAGCCTGTCGTCCTCTAGCATGAATTCCTAGAGAAGATAGGATGTAGATTTTGCCTGGTTGTTCCTGAAGTAGAGAGCATTCTCTCACTTGCTGCCAGACTCCTCTGAAAAAAGAGATTTGTTCATAGCAGCCACTGACTGGGAGCTGCCTACAGGCAATGGAAGAGAATGTAACCTACCCACCAGGTCACAGTCCAGCTTTTAAATTATTATTTTCATAGCCTTGTCATCATTTAGTTATTATTTTCAGCATGTTGTGTCTCAGGTAAAATACAGTAATTGTGTTTTCTTGAAACTTTTTCATTTAGTTAACCTCCTCCCTGCCTTTTTTAAGTTAGAAGAGCAGGAAAACTTTTTCTGAGGCTAAACACAGACCAAATGGCTAACCTCACCTCACCCAGAAATACCCATAGCAGGGAAGTCTTTTGAGTATTGGATGTCCCGTGTATTTGTTCCCAGAGGAAGTTACAGAAGCATGGAAGCTTTTGGAGGATGAGCACTCACATTTCTGAACGCAATAACTAAAAGCAGTGATAAGTAAAAGCCCATTTGCTTCAAAACATGTCAATTCTTGTTAGGTTTTCCACCTCAGGCAGCCTGGGAACAGTCTCTTGCATTTACTAAAACCTCCACGGCATTGCGTTTGTAACAAAGGCATGAAGCACCGGTGGAGTAGTGGAATTAAAGGGCTTCGTTCTTGCAGTGCGATTTCTTGGTCACTTGAGGAAACAGCTCTATTACCTTCATGAGCTAGCAAAAGAAAGAGTGAAGCTGTCCCTCTTGACATCCTACCGTCCGTGTTTTACACGGACACGTGCTGCCTGTGCCGCCAGTAAAAAGGATGGGTCAGGGTCACTGACCACTGAAACGCCTCCCAAGAAAACATTTTTTCCTTTTGAACCGTCTCATCCCTGCGGTGCTTTGGATCTCAGTGGAGTCACGCCACGGGCAGCCTAATCGACGTGGCCCTTTGACTGCCAGCCTGGGCAAAAGCCACTGCACACACCTGGTTTGTCTGGGACGGCTTCACTCCGGTGTATCCACTGTACTGCAGGGAAAGGGGGCACCTAGGAAGCAAAGAAGGCTCGAGGGGAAGGCAGTAATTAGGATTACCTGGACGTACGGATACTGAGAAGTTAATTCACTCCCAGTCCCAGGATGTGCTTAGGATAAAATTCAGATTGTATAAGTAAGAGCTTTCTCCTCCTCTGTCTCCACACACAGCCTTGTGCAGCCCTCCCCTCCCGACAGCCTCACTGCTCACCCCTGTGCTAGGCAGAGTCCTATTCTTGTTTTTGAAGGCAGTCTGCAGTTAAGAGATGCCACGTGTATTTTACGCATTCCGTAGGCAGCCGTACACGTTCATCTGTGTACATGGGACAGAGCTAAATCAGGAACAGGAAAAGAAGCGCTTTTAATGCAGCCTGAGAGACTTCATCTCTTGTTACCAATTGGCACAACATCCATTAAGGAACTTGTTTTAGCTGTTCATACAACCTAACGGAAAAAGAACTCAGATACAGAATTCCACACTTCGGTACTACAGTTAAAGCTGTTACTGAATAAAAATCTTATGACAGAAGTTTATACAGCAGAATCCTCATTGCCTTTCCCCAGTATAGCCATCCTCACCCACCTACACGGCAACCAAACTCCCCATTCTAGTCTGTGTAGCCATAATATGCTCTTAAATACCCGACTGAGATTTCCAAATAGCTTAACCACACAGGGTGGAAAAAACAACCACTTTGTATTTAAGATGACTTTTTTGTAAGTATTAACATGAGGGAAAGTTTCCTGCATCCGTGTTAATTGGCATATGTAATTAACGCTACAAAGTGACTGTTAGCAGATGATGGGGTTCTTGTGACGTGACTAGGCTAGTTAGACTCCGCTTTGTAGGTGCAGTTGGTAGTTACAGAAGAGAAGATTCACAGGGACAAAACAGCATTTGCTTAATTTATAACAATGCGCACAGTGATCCCTTGGAAGAATTACATCCTCATTTAACATAAAGGATCTGGGCAGTACTTCAGAAATCTCTGTAGATCGCTCACATGTGCTGAATTAGTCACTTTTAACCTGTCTAAACCATAATACTCACTAGAAAATTCCATCTAGGGGGAAAAAAAAAAGGCCTTTGCTAGTGTTAGCAGTCATCACTGGTGGCTTTTGCCCTTGTGATCGATAGAAAGGCTGGTTTTGGGCAGCATTTCCGGGTAAAATAGTGAGGGAGTTAAATTCTCTCGAGAGGTGAGGGCTAGGTGGCAGCCTCGTAGCCACACAGCGCTGGTTTTGAACCTGTTTGCTGTACATGGATTCTGCAGTACCCATGGGACATCTCTGGTGGTTTGAGGCAAGGTAATTGAGGTGCCGGTAAGAAATTAATTCTACTGTCTGTGACTCCTAGCTTTCAATTAACTTCATCTGCAGGCTTTCAGCATGAATCTGGCACCATGTAGAAGAGACACCGTAGCTACCAAGTCAGCAACACGCATGCTTACTACCCTCTAAGGAGCCCTTGCCAGGCCAGACCATAATGGCACCAGGGGAGCTATTAAAGCCCACAGGTCACTACAGGCTCTGAAATCTCTTAAATACCAACATCTGAGTGATGGTTCTGTGGTCTTAGCCATCCCTGATCCTAGTGCCAAGAAGCCATTCTCATCAATTTAATTACGTAGTTTGAATTATGAATGTGAATTTCCTGGGGTTTGAGCATTTAATGGTAGACAAATACTTTTTCTGTAGGGATAATTGAATTGTTTGCCATTTTGTATTAGGCAAATACCTAAAACATGGCTGGTTTCTTGTTTTTTCTTTTTTTTTGTACCTTTAACTCTCCTACCTCTCTGCAACCACTAACAAAACAATAACAAAACAATGTAGTTGCTTTTGGTTTTAATGGATCATATTCATTATAAAGCATTACATGAGGAAAACCTTGAAACAGAAAGTCACAGAGTCACCAAGGGTTCCTTCAAAATACAAGAAACCATGAGCAAGGTGGTTGTGTGGATTTGTATTTGTGGGGTTTTTTTGAATTTGTGGCGATCAGTTCAAGCATTTCTCAAGCCTCAGTCTGCACTGAATACTAATATATTGAGTCTCTTCCCTCCTCAGTCAAGACTTGAGCTCAATCTAATTATTAGCCTATCTGGTTAATATTGGGATTTTTTTTAGGGAGCACAGAAAGAAGTCATTTACCTATCCCTACATTTTTTTAGTTACATAACGTGATGGTGCCCTAAGCAAGGATGACAGAAGGGCTAAGGCACGATCAGAGTTCAGCATCCAAACCTGCTGTAAAAGGAATTACGAAAGCTTTGGATAAGCGATGAAAACATCAGTGACATAAGCTCTGTTTAATTCGAGCAATACACATCCCTAGCTCTGAATTGCAGACCCGACTTTTCTCGGTTTCAGGACCATTCCCACTTCTCTACAAAACCTGGGATTGATAGCTCTGCCCGGCTTTGTGCTGAACTCAAACCGTAAGAGCTCTCCCACTTACGTGTATGGCTCTTCAAGCAGCACGGGACTGTGGTGGAGCCCTGCCTCAGGCCCGAGTCTGCTCGCAGGGTTGTCTCACCTCTAGAGCAACACTCCCCGTACCAGCACGCACGGGTGTGCTCTGGTAGTAAGAGTCGGAAATGGTCTGGACTTTCTCCCTCTGGTGAAATAAGGAGGAAAAAGGAGAAATGCACCCATATTCCATTCCTGGCCGCTGGCAGCGTTCGGCTCCTGCTGCAGGATGGCGGGAATTATCTGTTGATTTTACAGTAAAGACCCAGGCCACATTCAGGATGTTGCATGTAACATCTCTGTGACATTTTTCCCCATGACTTGACGTTAATTGGTCTGTATCAAGTCAAACGGTTTCAACTATTGCGTACAGCTGCTAGTGAGTACGAAACGGATCAGAGAGCGGATGAAGCTGAACAATGTCTCCGTTAACTCTCTGCTCTCCCAAACAATTTTTCTTTAGGTCCCGCTGGAAGGTTCTCAGTTATGGGGAACAGGGTACAGAGCATTGATCCTACGCACAGGATAAATGACAGAGACTACATGGGCTGGATGGATTTTGGACGCCGCAGTGCTGAAGAATACGAGTACTCTTCCTAAACAACAGCAAACTATAGCAACAGGAAAAAAAAAAAGAATCACACTCCCATGTCTGTACAGAAAGAGAAAGATTAATTTGTTGTCCTCTTCAAATCAGTGTTTTAAACTATACCATGTATTTGATGTAAATTTGTCTGTAAGACTATACAATGCAATATATACATATGCAGAATTTTCCAGAAAATGTTTTCTTTCTTTTGTGGTTTCTCATACATTGATAATGTATTAAAATGATTTCACTTATCCCTTCCTGTCCTGTCACCGCCTGTTGCTGGGTGCCTTACTATAAAGAGAGGCAGGAAAAGGCCTCCATTCTGCAACGTAAGTACATTCTGTCTGGTGAGTACTCAGAGAAATCAACCACTTCTCGGAGACACCTCGTGTCAGTCCCAATAGCTGTGAACTCTGAGGGGAATGTGCCCAAATATAAACACAGCAGCACAATTCTGCCAGAAAAGGCCAGCAGCCTCTGTGGTGACCCCACTCGTAACGGGCTGAGTTACACACCGAGCCCACACGCCTGTAGGGAATAGTCAACAGTGCTAAAACCAAGAGAGGAGCGACACCAACATACGTGTTTCCTCTTCCTGCCTCATTTATTCTGTGTTGTGAACTAGATAAAGGTCTGCCGATGGCTGTGAATCACAGCATAAACAGAGCATTCCCTGCCTGGGAGGGGGCGAGGAGAGTTCCCTGAACAGAGCAGAGGATGATGTGCCAAACCAGCACCCTGGGGGCTCCGTCCAGCGAGTCCCCTCGCAGTCGTTCTGCTGGCTGTTGTACCTGCCCTCTCCTCCTTCCCCCCAGGGAACCCCTCCTGCCCTCCCGGATCTGCCTCAGCAGCTGGTTATCACATCCAAGGAATGCCCCCAGCTGGAAATGGAGGTGATTTTTCACTGCATAGCTCCCAGAATTTCTCGGGAATGTGTGCATTGATAAAGAAAGCGTTTCTCACATACTGAAAAGCAGCTGCTTGCCAAAGGAAGGAGGCAGGGGAACATCTCAACAGCAATTTCCACAGCACTGAACAGACAATAACAGTGCATGGAAAATAATGTACAAAAAATATTTGTACCAAACCAAAATTCTACCAATACCAAGCAGATTGGGAAACCAAAATGGCTTCACCATGGGCTGAACACAAAAGCCTTCTGAGGAGCTGGTCCCACCAGCAGCTGGGACAGCAGACAGCACCACATAAATCTAACGTGAAAGGGAGACCAGCAAGTGGGAACAGGGAATTTTCCCCTCTAGTAACGCCAAATCTCTCTTTGCGGATCTCAGCTTGAAAATGTGGAACTGCTTTTCTGCATGAACTTTTTCTTCCTCTCAAGCTCCTCCCAGTCAACCTGTTTCCCAGCCATCTACTCTGGCTTTTTGGGTTCCTTTCCAAATGTAGTGAGTCCCTAAACATGTGAATTCTCTCCTTAGTTTTGAGTACTGCCCACAGGAAAACAGTCCAAAGTGCCCATTTTCCCAGAGCTTTCAAATGAGATTAAAACCAAGTAGTCTTTTTTTTTTTTTCTTGGTGGCATCAAACATCCCTTTGGCCAGCTTGGGTCAGCTGTCCGGGCTGTGTCCCCTCCCAGCATCTCTTTGAAGAACCAGCTGAGAACACAGGGGCAGTATCAGAAACTGAAGAAGTCCTTGGTGCAAACACCCCATAGCAACAACTAAAACCATCAGCGTTATCCATACTCTTCTCAGCACAAACCCAAAACACAGCCTCAGACTAACTACTGGGAAGAAAATTAACTCTGTCCCAACTAAAACCAGCACATGTGGCCATTAAGAAAAAACCCCAAATACCAAACCCCTTTTTTTCCTCTTCTGCCTCATTTCCTCCAGGCAGGGGGATGAAGGCATGAAGACGCTCCCCTCATCCCTCTCTTCTGAAGGTCTCTGAAGATGTCTGTGAAAGGGTTTTTTTACAGAAAAACCTGCCTGCTCCTTGTGCCACGACTGCAAGCAAAGCTCATCCGGTTTTGAAAGTGATTAAGAGAAAATGCTGGTTTTCTTTGCCAGCCCACCACCAGCGTGGCGTGTGGCAGCAATCACATCTGCCACCTTCCCTGGATGCCGGGGGGGTTTCACACAAAGCTCGGCCTAATTTATTTTTTTTTTCCAGTCGCTGCACACACTGGTCTTCATATTTAAGCCCTACCAGTGCTACAAAACAGACCCAGGGTATAAAGGGCCTTGCAGTGACTCCCTTGGCATCCAAATGAGGATTGAAAACATACATCACGTCACCTCAGCACTTTTTCCTGTCTCCAGACGGAAGGCCCTGGCCAGTCAGAACCAGTAAAAGGGGGCCCTTTTCTGACTGGGCACTGAAAGGGCTGCCAAACGGAAGCTCAAGACTAACCTGTTTTTTCAGTTGCCGCTAAGGTACAAATTTGCAGCTCCAGGGAAGATCTCCTCCTCATTCTTAACACTCACAGGGGTCCTGGTTTGGGGGCGATGGCAGTAATCACCAAGGATCTGTTGCTGTAGGACACAGCACGGCTCATGGAGACGAGGGGGAGGGTGGCCATAAGTGGTTTAGCAACATCCTCCTCCTCAAAACATCCATCACCTGCTCCTCTGGGAGTAGAAGAAATTGCCCCGGGTGGGGAAGGGCTGTAAAGGCTGCTGAGACACCATTCAGCTCCCAGCTGACCTGGAGGTGCTAATCAGACCTGAACAGGCAGGCCAGCAGATTTGGGGAAGTCAAGCAACCCTGGTAGCTCCAATGCTCATCCTATTAGCGAAGATGCCCTCCAGGCCTCTCTGTTTCAACCCAAGGGAATCTGCAGCCTGGGGGATGGAGCCCCTGCAGCCGGGTGTGAGCCCCTCGGGTCCGGCAAAGGCTTTGGGCTGAAAAGTGCCCCGCAGATTTCATCCCCCACGCAGCGTGTTGGGCGGCAACTTCCCCAGCGCTGCCAACCCTCAGCGTTTAATTTAGCTTTATTCTAATGCATCTTCATGGAAGTGCGTGCACAGGGGCAAAATTAACGCTGCCAAAATAGCAAATCAACACCTATTTGCATGTAAAGACAGTTTGTTTTCTCTGTGCGCTGGATTCAATTAGTTGTTCCAGCTTTATTCACTTCATTTCGAATGGGTGCGGGGCCAATCCTCGTGAGCAGAGCAGGATTACTGCGAACTCCACGTGAATGAGCAGGGAAGAGCCTGTAGCTTTGCAGGGCCTGGCTTATGGCAGCCATGAGAAGAGGGTGGAAGAGACAAGTGCTCCTCCTTGGAGCGAGGGGAACCCAGGCAGCCACCCGAGAGCAAGGGAGCACCCACACCCCGGGAAGGGGCAGCTCGCCCCGTGAGCTGGGGCAGCGTGGAAGAGAAAACTCCACTACATCAGCGCACCTCATCCTGAACGGTCTCATCTGCCCCCGTGTTTTGCACAGGGATGCGCGTGGATCCTGCTCTGCTCCCCCACGCTTTGCTGCATCACCAGCCCCTCCGACCACGCTGCATGTGGGGCGGCAGCCAGGCTGAGCTGGGGACACGCCGCAACCAGATGTTCCCAGCTGCAGCCCAGCTGAGTGTGTTTCAGCGAGCTCCGGCACCCCGAGCGCAAACCAGGCAGACCCTCTCCACGGCCTGGGTGGAGGAATTTGCAAATCAAATAAAATCTGAACGTTATGACGTCCTAGCAGAGCCGTGAAAGGCTTTTCTGTGCATTTGATTTTTGTATCCCCTGAGTACATTAAAATTCTCTTACAGAAAGAAAAAACTCTGGCTGTGGGTTTGTTAAAGCTTTAATCATTCCTAAGTGTCCGTGTCAATGGAACAGCAATTGGATTCAGCACAGCTTGAAGCCTATTTCAGC